GGGGGGGGGTGTTGATAGACATAGCTTTGCCTTAGCTTACGCATATCCCAGGAGAAACTTGATGTCGGCCTGCTTCGAGGCCAACCGGGGGAGTCAGATTCAGATAAGCCACAATTATTGATTTTTTTCAGGCCAACTGTTTTATTCTTGTCAGCCTTGAGTCCTGCGTGTGCTTTCAATCCCAAAATGGACAGATTTGTGTGCATTCCACTGATCCATGCTTATGAGCCCCCTTCAAGGTCGTCCCCAAAATGCTGGCGAGTCCCAGAAGCCACAAGTGGCCTGCGATTCTCACAAATCACTTCCATCTTACGGTTTAGCTCATAAATCAGCTGATTTTGAGTACTCGAAGCACGAACCAAACCTTCACACAGACTCTGCATTTTTGCCATGGCCAAAACTGCTGTTGACATCTTCAATAGCCAATAACATAGAAATCCACCGATGCCAAAAAGCAGAAACCTTGCTATCATGGTTCCAATTATACAAACATCTTCAGCGTCCTCCTGAGATAATACGGAAAGACGCATCAGCTCCCAAACTCCCCACGGAACCATGACGTATCCTGCCGTATGTGTCTCAGCGGGGCATGAGGGCTCTCCAGGACCCTGTTGCTTTGTTGTAAAGATTTTATCGATGGCGTTGAAAGTCCAGCTGACCAGATCCATGACAGTAGTTTTAGTTTTGGAAAATGTGTAAAATAAGAGCTCTGATACACAGACAGAGACTTGCATGAGAGTGAGTGAGAAAAAAAAATTGAGTTCATGCGGCTGTGAGTTTTTTCATCATGTTGCTTTACTTTCTTTATGTTTTTGTCAGTCAAGTTAGTGTGAAATTACTGGTGAATATGAATGTCTGGGTGGGGGACAAGACAAAGCTCCCACCATCACTTGTCACAGTCATTTGCGTTGTTCTCTCATTTAGCATAATTTGTCTCATGAAGCCTGCAGGTAAGTTATGCGTCAAAAGCAGTGAGATCGTGGTTCGTCGTTTGTCTCTGTAACAGCGATCGATTGGGAGAAAATATTATGCAGATTGCCTTGAATAATATTCCAGCTGGCATCTTTAAATAGGTCATTTTCACTCTTTCAGTTCATTATGTTTAAAATCAAATCAGTAAATCAGCCAGTTTTTCCCCTCTGGTTGTTTTCTCTTTTCATCTCCATTTCCTTCTGGCAACAACCTAAACAACAGTTTGCATTTCAAACACAGTCAGCCAGAGATGATAATAATAATAATAATAATAATAATAATAATAATAATAATAATAAT